TAACTCTTCTTCTGTGGATGCCTCTAAAGACTTAATGATTTCCTCTAACTCCTGAATACGTTTGTTTTCTGTTTTTTTCTTATGTGATGAGAAAGAGATTATTTTACCTCTCATCACTGCCTTTCCTGCCTCCCAGAGAATAGATGCTGATGTTCCAGGCAGGTCATTATGTTCTAAATATGAAGCCCACTCCTTTTTAAAAAATTCTATAAAACCTTCATCTTTAAGCAGTGATGTATTAAACCTCCAGTTTTTGCTTGTTGGGATTGTCTTCTTGTTTACCAGAGTTAATGAAACCGGAGCATGGTCGCTGACAACTATGGGGTGTATCTCAGTGTCTGAAATGTCAGCCAAAAATGAGCTGCTGACTAGAAAATAATCCAAACGTGAATGTGAGTGATGGACGTGTGAAAAAAAGTATATTCTCTATGGTTAGGATGAGGAGATCGCCATGCATCACAAAGCCCATAATTACTCATGTACTGTTTAACTAAAAATGTTAGTGGATTGCCAGTTGCGCTGAGTCCCAGCTGCACTGAGCCTGTCTGTTAAAGAGTTCATCCAAAAATTAAAATTGCCTCCAATTATAAGTGGACAGTCCAAGTGTTCGGAGAGTACAGAGAAAAAAATTATGAAAGAATGAAGGGTCATCAATATTTGGACAGTACATGCTGAAAATTCATAAGCTTTGGTTCTGTACAGATATTTTTAACATTATAAATCTACCCTCTGGATCAGAAACTGTGTCCAATACTGTGAAATTGATCCATGCTTTCATTCTTTTTTAAACACAGAAACAGTTTTGTTTACCTGTTAGTAGCTACAGTTTCGCCGACGGCTGCCGGCTTCTTCAGGCTGACGCTGATGGTGGCGCGTCACTTCCTTCTCCGTTTATCTGCGGGCAGCAGAGGACGTTGTCGCCCTCTACTGCCCGCTCTCCCCTCTCCGACGATGCAGTCCCATGCGTGGTCCAGCGTGTAAACTCCGTCGTCCCTGTTCATGGTCCCACATCCACGTCTCCTTATCTCGATTGAAAAGAACAACCCAAAAAAAGAACCAGAAACCCAGAAAGACAAGAACCAAAACCAGTGATAACCCTACCATACATCAGAGGCATAACGGAAAAAATAAGAGCAACAATGAAAAAACACAACATAAACACACCAACAAAGCCATACACAACAGTTAGAAACAGACTAGTACACCCAAAAGACAAAATATCAGCTGGACAAAAATGTGGAGTCATCTACGAAATCCCATGCAAAATATGCAATAAAACATACATAGGAGAAACTGGACGCCAACTCAATACACGGACAATAGAACACAGAAAGGAGTGTGAGAAAGAGGCAAATCGTAAACACACAAGAGCAGCAAAAGAAGAAGCAGAAAGTACAATAAAAAAGTCAGCCGTAACAGATCATTGCTTAAGAGAAAACCACATAATGGACTGGGACAGCACACGGATCATAACCACCGAACAACAAAAATACAAAAGATGGATCAAGGAAGCAATCGAGATAAAGAGACGTGGATGTGGGACCATGAACAGGGACGACGGAGTTTACACGCTGGACCACGCATGGGACTGCATCGTCGGAGAGGGGAGAGCAGGCAGTAGAGGGCGACAACGTCCTCTGCTGCCCGCAGATAAACGGAGAAGGAAGTGACGCTCCACCATCAGCGTCAGCCTGAAGAAGCCGGCAGCCGTCGGCGAAACTGTAGCTACAAACAGGTAAACAAAACTGTTTCTGTGTTTAAAAAAGAACGAAAGCATGGATTTAGAAAGACACAGCAAGAACACACCTAAGCTGTGAAATTGATGTTTTTGTGTATTAAAATAGCTACACCCCTTTGCCTAGAGTTATAGCAGGCAGAGAACATGCTGGGAAACTCAGGTGTTTTAAGTTCATCTGCGGATGTGGCAGATCAATGAGTCTCTTGTAACAATATTACGTCTGCTTGCACTCTCTTTAGCTGATCAAAAATCTTTAATCTTTTCTCTCTGGAGCCAGCTCCATGTACGTTCCATGAGACAAACCTTAGTGCACCCATAGATGTGTGTGTGTGTGTGTGTGTGTGTGTGTGTGTGTGTGTGTTTGTGTGTGTGTGTGAGTAGCTAAAATATGACGCCTTCATGTGAATCAGATGGAATAAGTAACTAAATGTATAAAATAGTATGTTAAAAAATAACAGAAAAGTAAATCATAATAATAATAATAAAGATCCAACAGTGTTTGTGGTTGTATTATTTGATGCATAAATTACGATATTGTGCTGTGGATTATATGTGTGTGTGTGTGTGTGTGTGTGTGTGTGTGTGTGTGTGTGTGTGTGTGTGTGTGTGTGTGTGTGTGTGTGTACGCGCGTGCTGAGTCTGATGCAGTGTTGGAAAGTTGTGTGGTTGTGCCATACAGATGTAAATGTACAAAAGCAGGTAAAGAGAGGAAAGGAAAAAATTATACAGGTTGAAGAAGAAGAAAGAACTAAAAAGAAAAGGTGATAGGGGTGTGAGATGGTGATGAACAAGTGATATAATCTAGAATACGGATTTAGCTGTTTAATCCTGACGTGCTCAAACCCAGTGAATCCTGATAAGAATAATAAATGTCTGACCTGATGTTGGGCTACCACACAACACTCGGGGCAAAACCCGTTCCGATCTTGTAAATTCTCACACGAAGGGAAAATCGGCTCAAAAAAGCGAAAAAGTTGCACAGTGACCGCCCGGCTTTACATCTGCTAACATAGTACATGTAAAAGGGAGTACTTTACTGGTGTGACTGTGTATGTACTCTGGTCACACTAGTCAAACACGCTAATATTGCTGATGTTTGTCCTCTGTGTGTAGTATTTGTGCTAAATGTGTATTTGTGACAAACGGTTTAGGGTCATGTGACCACGAACATATGTTCTTTCTTTCTGCTCAGCAGAAACAAAGTCCTCCATACTCTGGAGCAGAACATGAAAACAACATAAATGATGAAAACTTTAATAAAATATGTGGAGAAACTGCAGCTGAAGGCGACTTCCGGCGTTGCCATGGAAACATTTAGACTGAGCGCTCTAGGTAAACAGCTCCAGCTACAACTTTATTCAAACAGCTCACGGTCTCTGTTGTAGTTCTGATATCTCTGTAGTCCTCGAAGGCATGAATGACTAATTATCGCTTCGTCTGGATGACCACCCTGGTGTCCTAGACATCCTTCTCATCTTCATCCACCTCCTCCACTCTGGTAACCTAGAACTCTTCTGTCCTTTTCTTCAATTCTCGTTCATCTGGCATCATTTAACAGGGGCTGCCTGTGGGCATTGATTGCTGAATGGCGATTGAATCCACCAGAGAATTGTTCATTAAACATGGCTTAATAATGTTTTTGGACGGTAAAAAGTGCAGGGGACAAAAAATGACTTTGGAAATAGTGGAGGGGACAGACGGCTGTGTGTATCCAACAAGGTCTGTAGTTATAATTTCTGTTCTGTTTGCTTGAGCTACGGAGGTTTCACAAGAAACGATGCATTTTACTAGAAACTGGAAATCTGCACATGACTTCATTCTGAGTATTCTTTTGTGTTTGAGATCCTGTCTGGCCCGACTTGAACTGTGGAATAGGAAGTGTTCTGGAAGCGTAGTGCGTAACAAAAGACTTGAAGTGTGAGTAACGTGTCCTCACGGTTCTGGAACACATCTAAAACGCTGTGCTTGGCAGCCAGTGGAAGTGTATCCATCCAATAAAACTTGGTTAATTTCTGCACACTGGGTTTTGCGGGCATTCTGCAATGCTTACACGTCTGGTGGAAAGGCCCAGTAACCATTAGCATTAGCAACTCCGACACACAGCAGGACTCCTCCAGGCTTGTGTTATTGGTGGAGGTAAAACATCAACGTTGCAGAGCAAACAGTCATTGGAAGAGTCTTGTTGCTGTCCAATCAGAAGAGAGATGTCCCAACATCACAGCTTAATTTAATAGCAATAAAATGTGTTTAGGACACTTATCTTATGTCTGACCACCACAAACCAGCTCTCTGTGTTCTGTGAGCTTGTAGAGGTTTCAGTCTGGTGAAACTCTGCTGTTATCAGATCTCTCTCTCTCTCTCTGGTTTGAAGGCTTAAAGATGGAGCCGTAGGGACGAGAACCAGAGTCACTGACTGTCAGCAGGTCGAGTTTCACACTTGTTTGATGTGAGAAGACACACCAGCCTCGTCTCAACTTCACACACATTTCAGAAATGCCACATACATGCAGAGACATTTTTAAAAAGCTCTGAGTCACAGCAAGTTCCTGCAAGGACAAGAGCTCACCTCAGGTTCTGATGGACACCAGAAGGAACAAAAAGCTGATCCCACCTGTAAACACGATGGTGGAGGGCTGATGGTTTGGACTGGTTCTGCAGTACTCACTGGGTCCACCGAGAACTCCTCTGTATACCAAAGAGTTCTGGAGTCTAATGTGAGTCCATCTATCTGACAGCTGAAGCTGGGAACAAACCGGGTCATGAAACAGAAACGCAACTGAATCAATGTGCTGCCTTGGTCCAGTTTAAGTGTAGAGCAGAACCGAACTGAAACACTGTGGTAGAACCTTCAGAGAGCTTGGTGTTTGCTAACATCAAGAAGAGTGGACCAGAGCTTATCATGATAGACCAATACTGGTGCAGGTGGTCATGTTGGACCAGTGAGTGGATCTGAGAAAGACCAGGTGGATTTTAATCTCTGGGCCTTTATTGTGAAAGAATCCCTGGTTGCAGTTTCCCCTCTGGTTTTAGTTCCACCTCTATAAAAATGATTAGCCTGTGCTAACAACTGAAATTTGGTTCTGGATCTGATCCCAGACCAGAGGCTCTCTGTTGTCTTTGTCAATCAATCAAAGCATTATTCATAAAATGTCTTCCGCGACCGTGTCGGCGAGCCCAAGGCACTTGTCTTACCTGGTACTGCACTGGTTTTGGTTCCTGATTGAGTCCAAGCTACTGAAACTCACCACTTCCTTTGTTTCAG